ACTGATACGACAGGAGGGTGGTTCCTCGCTGGTTGTTTGCTGTCTACCATCCAACTAGCATGTTGGCTCTCCATTTATCTTAAATTCCAGAGACAAAATGCTTGTAACAATGAAAATCTCAGCTGGTGAGGCAGCTGGTATATTCCCAGCGTGCCTAGATGAAGTGAACCACTGACTTACATTTTACAAACCGCGTTTCAACACGATATCGCAGCTCTGACTTCCCAGAAACTGCGAGCAAGATGAGGCGAGTCAGTATTTAGATATTATTATTGGCTTCTGCCTCAGTGTGGGCAAGGAGGGCAGTAGGTGGGGAGGGGGGAGGTAAGAGGGGGGATGTATATACGTGGGGAGATTGGCAGTGGGCGTTTGGTGGGGTGTATGGAGAGGGTGTATGGTAGAAGTGTGTGTATATGTATGATTACTTCTACAATATCTCGTGTATTTTTTTGTTTTGTTTGTTTTTTAGCTATTTTTTTCATATTCTTTCTCATCTGTCCTCTCGTTGTCATTATTAATGTTTTTACCTACTGCTGTTGTTGGCAGTGTCTCTCATTCCAAGCAATGTCTTTCGTCCATATACAATACCTGTTGCATCTCTCTCTCTCTCTCTCTCTCTCTCTCTCTCTCTCTCTCAGTAGTAGTAACCAGTTACCAGTAACCAGTGTACCAGTAGTTGACTCACTACCAACCGTCTCTGCTGAGTCACTGTCTGTATTCATATTGTGCTGACCACAGCAGTATTCAAAGACCCCCTCACATATGGGTACTGTGGGTGGCCAGTCAGTTATATGAGAGTGAGCAAGGAGATAGGCAGGCTGTTGGGCGCTCCCCACATTATCTGTAATTATACGTACTACCAGCCTACGTGAGTATTACTTTACCCTATCCACGTATCGAACTCCCACATGATAAATGGTGGCAGCAGTGGGATGCGTGGATTTAAGTTTTACGAGAGTGAGCAAGGAGATAGGCAGGCTGTTGGGCGCTCCCCACATTATCTGTAATTATACGTACTACCAGCCTACGTGAGTATTACTTTACCCTATCCACGTATCGAACTCCCACATGATAAATGGTGGCAGCAGTGGGATGCGTGGATTTAAGTTTTACGAGAGTGAGCAAGGAGATAGGCAGGCTGTTGGGCGCTCCCCACATTATCTGTAATTATACGTACTACCAGCCTACGTGAGTATTACTTTACCCTATCCACGTATCGAACTCCCACATGATCTCTCTCTCTCTCTCTCTCTCTCTCTCTCTCTCTCTCTCTCTCTCTCTCTCTCTCTCTCTCTCTCTCTCTCTCTCTCTCTCTCTCTCTCCTCTCTCTCTCTCCACTATTCATAACTCTGATGCTGTATGTGCTTGTACATCAGGATAAGATTTGTTATCTTACTCGGTCAATTTACACGCTAAGAGATGTTATCTTACAAAAAGCTGGTATCCTATCTAAGTTCACTTAAAAGCCTGGTCTTATGTAAGCTCACTTGAAGCTTAGTCTTATGTAAGCATCATTACCAGACTTTAGGTCACAACTCGCAACAGTCAACGAACACTCATGTATCTATTTACTGTTAGGTGACAGACAGCAGGTGCAAGGACGCTCACTAATACGTCTCCTCTCCCCCCCCCCCATCCTTCCCAGCACAGGAATCGAACTCCAGATCCTTTCCGTTAGGAATCAAGCACTCTATGCCTGATTAACTTAGCGAGAGAAATAGATAACGTTTCTTGGTATTATTAGGTAGGTTCAGTACCTGGAGTAATCTCATCTAAAGCCATAGATCAGTATCGCTTAGCTGAGCTCGTTCTTGTACCTAGAACGGTCTCAGCTGGGTTGATATTACTAGTGCCTACCCATTGAGAGTGACTGTCTTAAGTCGTACTGTGACTGAAGCATTGTGATGACGGACTGTCTAGCAACAGTGGTGTTAGTATGATGTTCAGTCACACACACACACAAGCTCAGTCATTAAGTTCCCACACTCCCTCACATATTCACCAGATAACCTCAGGATCGAAGTCCACACATGAGTTTCTCGTGTGTGTGTGTGTGTGTGTGTGTGTGTGTGTGTGTGTGTGTGTGTGTGTGTGTGTGTGTGTGTGTACTCCCCTAGTTGTGGTTGCAGGGGTCGTGTGTGTGTGTGTGTGTACTCCCCTAGTTGTGGTTGCAGGGGTCGTGTGTGTGTGTGTACTCCCCTAGTTGTGGTTGCAGGGGTTGTGTGTGTGTGTGTGTGTGTGTGTACTCCCCTAGTTGTGGTTGCAGGAGTCGTGTGTGTGTACTCCCCTAGTTGTGGTTGCAGGGGTCGTGTGTGGTTGTGTGTGGTGTGTGTGTGTGTGTGTGTGTGTGTGTGTGTGTGTGTGTGTGTGTGTGTTGTGTGTGTGTGTGTGTTGTTATTATCGATATTATGAAAAGTAGAGTAACGACCCTTGCTTCCTGAATCAGAATCAACAATGCGGGATACACTACACTGTCATGCGCTAGCACGCATGACAGTATACAAACGACTACAGTGGCCTTGAAGATGATCTTTAAATGCGATCCTCTGTGATTCTCCCCACGTGGTAAACAACTGGTTGTCAGGCGAACAACAGTAGGAGAATATATATCAAATTAATGAGGTGTTGTGGACATTGTGAGATGGACAGGTCAGTGTCATTTATTAGCAAAAACACTTCTTCAAGGCTGAGGGACTGACCACCTCAAAGTTACTTTTTCAAGGCTAAGGGACTGACCAGGCGAAAGTATAATAAAATAATAAATGGTAATAATTATAGGTATTCATCACAGCTAATAATTGTAGGTAATTATCACAGGTAATAATTGCAGGTAATTATCGCAGGTAATAATTGTAGGTAATTATCACAGGTAATAATCACTAATCACAGGTAATAACTGGTGATAATTACAGGTTATTGTTCCAGATAATCACTTGTAATATGAGGTAATCAGTTGTGAGTAATGTGGCACTCATTAGAGAGACATGATTACGATATATAAGATACTTAAATTACGATAGTCTTAACATAAGAAAACTACTGTAACCAGGATTTTGTAGCAATTACAGATGATATAATACATAATTTAAAGTAGTACAGGATAGTTCAGAAAATTATTAATACACTGTTCTGTAACAGCATTCCTGAGCTTCACGCAAGAACACTGGTGTCGGGTCCCTGGCCTGGAAGAGGCCCTAGACCAGCTAGAAGACCCTTCGGTCTCCTCCGTCAGTCTGAAGAACATCTCTATACCCTGGTGAGTAGCAGCCAGCTCTGGTGGTAGTGGCCTCGACCCCCCCCCCCCAATGTGACTTCCAAAGGGATACAGTAGATCAATGCGTCTTCCTTATCATAAGAAACATTTTGTAACCCTGGCAAGTAGCTCTCAGCAATGGTGGTAGTGGTCTCGACCCCCAAGGGTAACTACTAGGTGAGTTCAACTGATCAGTGCATATCCTCTGCTGGTAGTGGCCTCGACCCCCCTCTCCTACCTTGTGTGGCGACCAATTGAGTGCTGTTAGGTCGGAAGCGTGTTTGGTTCGTGCTTTGCAGACGAAGGATTGAGCCTTTCCTATTCTTGGAACTGAATGAAAACACGGATTTTGCACCCCATGCAATAATAATAATACTTTACCAGCTGTGAGGCAGGTGGAAGGGGCATCAGACCAGCTGCATCTTCTCACCAGAATTGTGAAATTAATCACTATATTGTAAAAGTGAGCAACGAGTTCGAGAAAATTAGTCGCGGAGTTGCCAACTTATTTTCCATTCTATGAATTTAGCCCCCACACGGTGAAAATAATGGCCAACTTGGGGAATTTTCAACACGTGTTAAGAGGAAGCTTGATGCCAGGCTTCTGGGTTTTCACGGTGAATTCTGCAGGAATCAGAGAAAGTAGGGAGAGGAAGCACTGTGTTGAGTCGCTAGTCACAATCTTCAAGTCAGTAGACGCAGAGGAGCTGCGAGAGGTGTGGAAGAGTGAACTGGTGTTCTGAGTGTGTACACGGTCTTGGACTCTTGATCACTACGTGTATTTGGAGATAAGACGTATAAAATAATGACACGATAAAATACCGGTGTGAAAATACCGTTTGGCCCACTGTGTGGGCCAAACGTAGTCATATAATACAAAAACCAGAAATCCTTGAGCCTGACCATATCACTTTGCTTAAAAAATTATTGAATTTCCCTCTTATTTATAGTCCCACAAAAAAAATCATAGTCCCTTCCAGCTCTCTTTCTGGTTCATAAGAACATTAAAAACTAGCCAACACAACCTTTCTGTTTTCCTTTTGCCTTTCAGAACGAGGGAGGAAGGTGCTTTGATGTGGGTGAAGGTCTCCTGACCTGAGGAGTTAGGAGGCATCCTCTTTTTCTAAGAATTTAACCTAATTACCACCCACTCCTTAGGTACTGCTTAAACCCCTGTGGGTTTATTGCTTCCCCATTAACTTCATAATAATTAATACTAATAATAATTGTTCTTCCTGCTGCTACTCCTTCAGGGGCAACAAGACTGGGTACGACAAGTGCACTTACTACGACTTTAACTATACAACACTAGTGCCTCAGCTGATAGAAGGCCAGGAGCTCGAAGTCAACCTCTCTCACTCCTTCTACAACGCCTCCACAGCCTCCTGTGACTCCTGGGAGTTCGACACCTCAGTGTTTAAGCTAACTTTAGTCTCCGAGGTGAGAAGAGTGTGTGTGTGTGTATGTACTCACCTAATTGTGGTTGCAGGGGTCGAGACTCATCTCCTGGCCCCGAAGACTGTGTGTGTGTGTGTGTGTGTGTGTGTGTGTGTGTGTGTGTGTGTGTGTGTGTGTGTTTGTGTGTGTGTGTATGATTCCTGTGGGCTGAGCAATTCCTAGTTAAAATAATAATAATAATAATAATAATAATAATAATAATAATAATAATAATAATAATAAGAAGAAGAAGAAGAAGAAGAAGAAGAATTATATAAATAATAATATTTTTACCATGTTACCATCTATATATTATTGGAGTTTGGTTTAATTTATGTGATCTTCCGACGACAAGAGTTTCGTCCATTGGTACTGCCAGAGCTGCCACTGCTCTGTTTCATCTATATTCTATCACACAATATATAATCTTCAATCGACCTAATTCCACCTCCTCTCATTTCCATTGCATTACCACTCGCGTACGTTGAGCTTCCTTCCCCGGGAGCGCACCTGAGCCCTACGTGTGGGGGAGCCTGGCTGTTAGAGTGAGGTGCTCCTTGTGTGATCTGAGGGAGGGAGGATCGAGCTTCCAGCACTCCTGACCCACACTGATCTGAGTCTCGTATCTCTTTATAAGCTATGGATTAGTTTACGTCTCTTTGGGGGTAAAAAATGGTTCTTGACTGCTGAGAGATCTGAGAGACTTAAATGTTCGTTTTCCTTCTAAGTAATGATGATCTGAGACTGTACTGACACCTACCTGGAGTATACCTGGAGAGGGTTGCGGGGGTCAACGCCCCCGCAGCTCGGTCTGAGACCAGGCCTCGTGCAGTCAAGGATAAAAGGTTGTATAGAGAGTCATATGTCATCTGTTTGCGTTGAAATGAATTGCATTCCCAGTCACTCTGACTGAAATTGCCTAATAAACTCGTTTCTCTGGGGAAAATGAACAAGATTCTGTTTATCTTCTCTTCGTTTTGCTCTGGCAGAGATTGATTTCGGTTTTTATATCTTCCTCTGAATATTTCATGTCATAATCATGTCTACTCTCTTTTCTTCTCCAGTATTGCGAGGTCCAACTCACACATTTCTCCTCACATTCTTTCTTTCCTCATTTCTAATATTAGTCCGCGGAGGACCTTTTCCATTTATTTTATGCTCACTGTTCGTTGTGGGCTCCACGCCGGTGACGCGTATTCGAGAATTGGAAGAACGTATGTTGTGTATATTTCGCCCCGTATGATTCCTTGTTCAGGTGTCTGAGCAGCGATCACAGCATATTGTATTCGGTTTGTTTGCTGCTGGAGATTGCTTGAGTGCGCTGCTTATTCCAAGCTCATTCTCTATATTTGACTCTGATAGCTTACTCTTTTGCAGTCTCCTCTTGCTTTCCCAACTGCATTTGTTTGGGTTGAGTTCCATTATCAGTTTTTCAATCATTCCTGTGACTTATCCAGAATATTTTTCTTTTACACAATGCATACTTTTATACAGTTTCTCATATTTATAATGAGTGTAATGAACATTTGCCAGTGTTCAATAATAACCAACATGGAGACAGAAACACAGGAGGTTGATTTATCTGTTTATTTCGACCCCCTTCTGGGATCCTCTTCAGTATATCTGCTGAAGACGATCCCAGAAGGGGCTCCAAGTATACAAAATCAATCAACCTCCAGTGTTTCCTTCTCCATGTGGGTTATTAGTGAGCATAGTAAGTTATCTCTACAGCCCCCGTACAGCCAGCTTCATGATTCAGATCACACCGGCAGGTTCCAGCCAGTCGTGTCCTGAAGAGCAGCGTCATTTAAAAAGATAATTATGTTCATGGACCAGCAAGTCAGGCAAATTAGCCACTTCTGATTGCACCTTTCAACGAGCCTAGAATAATCAGGAGCGCTCTTACTAATGAGCCGTCGACACGGGGGAGAGTAATTAGAGAGTTCGCTCAGTACCAGAATTGAATCACCGCTACTCGTTTAATTATACCGTGGGAGAGATGGAGGACTCTGACTTTACAGTGACTGGACGCTGGTGATCAACATTGCTCTGCTACTTGACTGTGCTATATGCAAGTACCGTGAGGACTGTGTTTACTGTGTGTGAGTCAGTGAGAACCTCCGCACTGTGTGTCTTCCTTATTATATACGATAGTTACATTGTTGGAACATCTGCTGTGTGCGGCTATTTTTACGATACTTTTATTGTGGAACAAAAGACAACAATGTTTCTTTGGATAAACTCTTGAGAGTTAAGAAAAGTTAAGATTTTGTTCGGATTTTTAACTCTGGAGTGTTAGCCACCCAGGATAACCCAAGAAAGTCAGTGCGTCATCGAGGACTGTCTTATTTGCTTTGGGTCCTTATCTTGTCCCCCACTATACGACCCACACCAGTCGACTAACACCCAGGTACCTACTTGCTTGCTAGGTGAACGGGACAGGAGGTGTAAGGAAACACGCCCAATATTTCCACCCTTGCCGGGGATCGAACCACTGATGCTCAGTGTGTGAAGCGAGAGCATTGCCTACCAGGCCACGGGACACAGCTTAAAATTCATTAAATTGCCAAAGCGTAATCACGAATTTCCTGAACTCACCAAATATTGGGTGAAATAAATAAAAAAAAACATGTCTTCTCTAGAGAACGCAAATTTCTGGAAACTCAGGATAGTCCTCCATGTTGAAGGTCAGTTCTCCATCACATAGGATGGGTGGATGCAGCAACTTTAGTAACGCCTTGACCTCAGTGACCCACACGGGTTTACCGCTTCACACAAACTTAAAGGTAATTGTTACACATTTCAGTTTAGAGGATAAGAAGCTATTACCCAGCTTCATCTCATTTCCATGTCCAGAACTAGTACCCTTCCCATCTCCCCCAGGATGCCATCCACAACAACTTATTGTTATCCCGTTACATATTTTAGGTGAACAGGAGGAGCAAAAAAAAAAAAAATGCTTCAACGTATCGTGGCGCTCGGGAATCGAACTCGAATGGTATCGGTTGGTAACCAAATCCCGAGTCATAAGCTACCACAAACACTGACTTTCTCGTTCAACAGGTTCCGTCCGTCGATTCAGGAAACTTTACCAATGCATCTCCACCCGCAGGCAATCGAACCCAGGTCCTTTCGGATGTGAGCCGAGCTCTTTATCACCACCACTAATGCTATCGTCCAGGTAACCACTAGTACTATCATCCTGGGGTCTCACTAATACTATCGTCCAGGTAACCACTAATATTATCATCCTGGGTCTCACTGATATCAGTAACCACTGATACTATCATCCTGGAGTCTCACTAATACTATCGTCCGGATAACCACTAATACTGATACTATCCTCCTGGTTCCCACAGTTCTCGCTGGTGTGTGGTCGACGATGGCTGATGGCAACTGTACAAGCATCGTACATGAGCGGTCTCCTAATTGGCTCTCTGGTCATGGGTCAACTCTCAGACAGGTGAGATGACCTCACTAGCCATGACTCTGTCCTTTGTTGGGGATAGTGAGGCTCTAAGTAGGAGTTCAGATACTGACAGCAGCTCTAACATGGGCACTGACAGCGGTTCTAAAAAGGAGTGACAGCAGTTCTAAGGGACAGTGATAGTAGTTTTACCAAGGACACGTAACAGCAGTTTTACCAAGGGCAGTGACAAGTTTTCTAACAAGGACAGTGACAGCTGTTGTAACAAGAACAGTGACAACTGTTTTAACAAGGACAGTGACAATTGTTTTAACAAGGACAGTGACAACTGCTTTAACAAGGATAGTGACAACTGTTTTAACAAGGACAGTGACAACTGTTTTAACAAGGACAGTGACAACTGTTTTAACAAGGACAGTGACAACTGTTTTAACAAAGACAGCGACAAGAAAAATACCGCATAAAATTTACTCAGAGGTGCGCCACTAGAACGTAGTTGATCTACCATAATATTTCGTTAAACAGAACTTTTAACCAAGAAAGAACAGTTGCAATAGCAGAGTAAAAAGGTGACCACCAGGTCACTCACCTGCATTACACTAGCCAATAACCTGTTCTGATCTAGCTAAGGTACCAGGTGTCTATCCTGATGCAAGTTAGAGCACCTTTAACCTAACCAGCGGTGTACTGCTGCAGGTTTGGTCGCCGCACCATGGCGGTGCTGTGTGCTCTGGCGACAGCTGTGGTGGGCACAGTGGCTTGCTTCGTCAACTCCTATCTGGAGTTCCTGGCCCTGAGATTCATCCTCGCCTTCGTCTGCTCCGGCATGATGATTATCAACTTCGTCCTGGGTATGTGTGAGCTGTGTTTCAAGGGCAGGATGGAGTCCAAGGGTGAGCTTGCTTACGGTCAGTGACTCTGGGCGGGAGGGTTGAGCTAGGGGTGAGGAAAGTGAAGTTCGGGGATTGGGATTTTGTAAGTGAAAGTTATCACCAAAACACCTTCACTACCACCACAGCATCATTCCCACCACCACACCATTACCACCACCATCATAACATCACGTGACACTATGTAACATATTGACACGTGTGCGAAATTAGACATATGCTACGAAATTAGAAAAGCCTTCGAAACCGGTCACATGTACAATATATCACAGGTGTACAGTATATCACAGGTGTACGATATATCACAGGGTGTACAATATATCACGGATGTACAGTATATCACAGGTGTACAGTATATTTCAAGTGCACAGTATATAACAGGTTACAGGTGTACAGTATCACAGATGTACAGTATCATAGGTGTGCAGTATCACAGGTGTACAGTATCACAGGTGTACAGTATCACAGGTGTACAGTATATTTAAAGTGTACAGTATATAACAGGTTACAGGTGTACAGCATCACAGGTGTACAGTATCACAGGTGTGCAGTATCACAGGTGTACAGTATCACAGGTGTACAGTATCACAGGTGTACAGTATCACAGGTGTACCTACTCTGCCTACAGTAATGGAGATTGTCAAGCCAGAAGCACGCACCATGACAGGCATGATGTATGCATTCTTCTTTGGCTCGGGCATCGCTATCCTACCAGGTATCGCCTTCTTCATCAGGACCTGGCGATACTTGGAGCTGGCTATTGGCCTGTCCTCCTTCATCCTCGTTACTTACTACTGGTGAGTCCTTGCAACACTCTAACACTTCCCTCTCCTTCTTAACGTTAAAAAACGGGTGTTGTTATGCAGGACTATTCTATAAAGTGGTTTATTTTATGTTCACGTAAACCACTGGACCCGTATGGGTAAACATTGCTTTAAATTTCTTGCAAGGTGATAATATTTTATAGAATAATTCCTTGTTAGGTGATAACAGTGCTTCACAATACTTAATTGTAAGGCAATAACAGTGTTTCATAATTATCAGGTGATAAGAGTATATTATATCAGTAGGACATCATATATCTGAGAAGCACTTTCCTAAGTCACCATGTAACATTTACAGGTTCATTAACAATGTAATTTTTTAAGATTATATGACGCACAAATCCTTAAGAATTATTGTAAACAGTAATTATTAGATTAAAATACTAGCATCTTTAACCCGTCTTTTCTCCTACGTAAACTTCCGGAGCCTCGGTGTTCCTTATTTCAAAATCATCACCCGAACTATTTTCTCTACATTACTGATCGTATCCTTCTTTATACAGGATCCTTCCGGAGAGTCCTAGGTGGCTTGCGTCTCAGGGCAGGGTGGACGAGGCTCTCAAAATCCTGAAGAACATCGCTCGAACCAATGGGAAGAAACTGGCCTCTGATGAGTGCATCCTAAAACTCATCACATTGGACCACTCTAAGGTAACTCTGTCCAGCTAATACATCTTAATTTTTAAAGGAATTGAGAGGTAAGTCAGTGGAAGGTCTCGGTCAGATGACCAGAAGTTCCAGTGGCGGGTCATCATGTGACTAAGGCCCACGTCAGGAAACACTTGTCCTGTTTCCTGACGAATTTTAATCAACGTGATCTGTCTTAAGAAAAAAAACTTAGCATGAATAATTAATATCATAAAGCTCTATTAGTTATACTGTAATTTTCTTATTATTCATCCATTTCGTATTTTGCAAAACAACCACCGTGAAAAAATAGTGAACTCCCAAGCGCTTTTCGCTGGTTGTTTTGCGTATTGCCATTTCACTTGTTTACTGTGAACTTATTGCATTTCGTATTTTAGATACATTTAATTTTGATTATTTCATATATATATTCAATTATAACTTTGAAATAGAAGTAAAATAATGAACAATGTTGTACAGGATCCCGAGTTTAGTGAAGCTCGACCTGCTAGATGGTACAGTTTCATAGTTAACACTCTGCGAGCCCAGGTTACACTAGTTCGAACCCCGGTGATGCGTCGCAGATGTTTCATCTCCTTTTTCCTGTGGTTCGTCTCAGCCAGCGTCTACTACGGCCTCATCTTCTCCGGTGCCAACATCAAGGCCGATCCTTTCCTCATGATCTTCATCTCGGGATTAGTCGAACTGCCATCTGCTTTCGTCTTCATCTCCGCCTTGGATAAGTAAGTTGCATCTCGTAGATAAATGGTTCAGAGAATAGACAAGCTGGGACTGATCAGGGACTGATTACCTCAATGATCTTCTGATCGTCACTATTCTTCTTAGTATTGGACTGATGAAGCCACTATGTAGCGATACGCTTCCACAATAAAGATACCTAAGTGTCGACCATCTGTCTAATTTATCATTATGTTGCGTCTTCTTCACTTCGTTCATGAAGATTCTTTAGTCAATTTCGGAATAGTATTCTACTTTAAAAATTAATTATTATCTTAAAACTCATTATCAAAATATAAACAATAGCCTTCGCCCTCACTAAGTATATTGACTCTGTTCCTTCAGCTGTAAAAGCGATAATTATCTAGAATAAATATTGATCCTTCGCTTTACGAAGGGGATAATCATCTCGGTGATAAGTAGGCAATATTTCAGCTGGCAAGCGCACTCGTAAACACCCACTAAATTTCCCGCTTTAATACCTACGGAATATTTCTGTCGTTTCCACTTACGCTTCACGACAGCTGTAATAAATCAGGTTCCACGTAAAATTCCAAACGGGATGAAATGTCGTGATGCAGTCTAGTACGAGTCTAAAAATGTCAGTTTCAGAATGAGCTTTTACTGGGACAGCGTTACGTTCTGTGTAGAGCTTCAGCGAGACGTGAAAATATTCTACGCTAGGCGAAATGTCTCACTAAAAACTTATTATGCAACCTGTGTGTTTGTCTTCACCAATGCGCTTGACACCTGCATTTTAGCGTCAAGGCTAACCCACAAATTAGAAAACTAGATGACGTTTCGGCTCATTCTGAATTGTTATGTCCAGGACGACAGCGAACGTTGTCCAGTTTTCACTTCCAGTGTTTGGGCTGACTGGATTTTTTTCCTCTTGCATAGGTTGGGTCGCCGGCCCACCATGAGTGGACTTTTCGCTGCCTGTGGTGCTTGTCTGCTGGCCATCCTTGCTGTTCCCGAGGGTAAGAGAGAGACAGAGAGAATGTCTCGTAACAAAAAATTTATTGGACATAATGCTGTTTCAAATAAGCAGAGGTAAGTAACAGCTCTTAGCTTGCAAATAAAGATAGGAACTCATAACCTAACCCTGTAGAAATAAAAGTGTTTAAAAATAATATGCCTTGCCTTCTTCGTTCTCTACTCTTTCCTTCTGCACTCTCCTGCTTCCGTTTGTCCTTTCCCCCTGTCTTCCATACCTTCATTCCTTCAATTTCACGTAAAATTTAGCAAATTTATTCACTCTCTGCTTTCTTCGTTTCCTTTTAACAGATCAGATCTACGTGAACTTCTTCCTGGTGAACCTGGGCAAGTTTTTCACTACGGCGGTGTTCCAGCAGCAGTACCTCTATACCGGAGAACTAGTGCCTACCCACGTTCGAAACATTGCAGTGGGCACCAGCTCAATGATAGCCAGGATTGGCTGCGTCATCACCCCCTACATCATCACTCTTCTCGTAAGTCTCATCATTTGTTGATTATTAAGATTCGAGGCAGTGAATTCAAAAGAAGTGGAGTTGTAGGATACGTAGAAACATGCAGACTAGAGTGTACGTTATTGGCTATGGGTTCCACCAAGCAGACGCGAGTAGGACAGCCCTGAGCCAAGATGCAGGGAAAGTGCTAATGTCCTATAGGACTCTGGGCAGAGACTGAGGCCGAGGGCCCACCTCGAGGACAGACCTCAGTGGACGCTCTCGAAAAACAGACCATAGCATACTGTCTACGTACGTATTTTATTCGTGAGCGCGAGGCAGACACGCTCCCTAGCTGGACTCAGTTGTGTGTACGTTGTCTGAGATAAGCTGAATAATATTTATATTTATATAAAAAACGTCGATTTTAATGTGCTTTGTTGTATATACATATTTCGTGTATGTTTGAGAAAATATTAATGTTATTGTGTTTCTCTTCAGTGTTTATATTTGATAATCACGATTTATAAGGCATATTTTCAAAGTGTATTTGAAAATAGTGTTAGGGAAAGAAGCACAATTTAGTGTTTTTGATGTTTATATGGTAGAAAACGTAAATAGTGTCTTTTTAAATGTTTATATATGATTAACCCAATAGTAATCTAAAAAAACAAAAACGTAATTTTTAATGTGTTTTAATGTCAAACGTTGTGTTTACTCCACCAGGGGGATGTTCACTACGCTCTTCCTTCAACGATCTTCGGGATCGTCTCTCTTGTGGCTGGCCTCCTGACCCTCATGCTCCCAGAGACCAACCACAAACCACTCCCGGAGACCGTGGCCGAGGTCGAGGCCATGCCTAGGTAAGAAGTCTTGGTCATCCAGCAGATGGAAGAAATGGGAGTGAGGCAGAAAGAGGAAGAGGACCACGATGGGGAGCCTAGTCAAGGTTCTGGCTCTACCCAAAATCTTCCTAGCACTGCTTGGGAAAAGGAATCTGTGGTGGCTAAAGAAGATGACAGTAACTACGACCCAGGAAGAAAACTATGTATCACACGACGAAGCAAAACTTGCAGTGCGAGATTAAAACTTCGATGGAGAAGATCGAAAAACAAGAGAAAAATTGCGGCTGGAGTTTTAAGCTAACAAACGATTATGAAAATGACAAGAGTTCCATCCTACTTTGTAACAGCATCAAGAAAAACAAACGAGACTATAAAGACAAAATCTTGTAAGTGTCTTGAAGGTTGTTACCAGGGAGAGTCGTATTACCAGTAAGAAGCTGTAATACCTAAAGACAGATATTATCCACTAGGTCGGTGACTAGGAAAACGTAATGGCAGAAAAGTCACTCATGCTACGAGGACACAGTGGTTTTGATTAACCTCTTGCGGCTTTAACTGTGATGTGTTAATTAATTTCGGAAAAGGTGTTTTAAGTGTAGCTTGACTTGGTCATTAAGAGAGATGGGAGTGACGGCTGTGGTGGAGAGAGTGCAGCCGTGGTGTGGATGAAAGGACTGGCTGAACTGATGTCTAGTTGAAATGAATGGTTGTGAATGTTGTGTGGAAAGCTGTTGGGTGAAAGGCTGTGGGCTTGGATGATGGTTACATCCGGGGTCGAGAAGAGTTATTACGAGTTTTGAAGTTATGACGGCAAAAGAATGTGACGAGATCTACCTGGAGGGTATTCCGGGGATCAATGCCCCCGCGGCCCGGTCCATTACCAGGCCTCCTGGTGGATCAGGGCCTGATCGACGAGGCTGTTACTGCTGGCCGTACGTAGCCCAACGTACGAACCACAGCCCGGCTGATCCGCCAATGATCTGGATTTGATTCACATACTGGATGTTGTTCCTCCCCATCTCTCCCTTCCCATCTCCTGACCCTTCCCATAAATCCTTTTCTTTCTCCCATTCACTTTTACTACTCCACACTCACTGCCCCCTTTTATCCTCACTCCATCTCATCTTTCTGGTTCTCTCTCTCTCTCTCTCTCTCTCTCTCTCTCTCTCTCTCTCTCTCTCTCTCTCTCCTCTCTCTCTCTCTCTCTCTCTCTCTCTCTCGCCTTAGGAAACACTCCAGAACCTGTTTACAAATCGGAGTTAAATCTCCAGAAGCCTGAGGCTCGGGATGGGAACACGAGTGAGAAAACGTGATATAAATGGCACTTGCTCAAAAAGAATTAAAAATACCTCTGGCTGAGTTTAGTTAGTTTAATATGTTTATTATGCACCCCATACCCATCCTGTGGGCGGTAGTCAAAAGATTACAGAGGTACATAATTGGTCCAGGGACTGGACTCCAAAGTTTTGATAGCTGAGCAAGTTACAGAGGTAATGAACTCACAATTTACAAAGGTAATGAACTCACAAATTACAAAGGTAATGAACTCACAATTTACAAAGGTAATGAACTCCAGGTAAGTCTGGTCTGAAGAAAGACACACGTCATTAAAGCTTTACACAGAGCGAAACGTTGTTCCAATAAAAGCTTGTTCTACAACGTGCGTCTTTTCTTTACTATTGTTGCCGCTACGGCACTTGGATCCAATGTTTTATTTATAGTAATAAATAATTTAACTACACTCTGCAATTTTATTTTGTTTAAAAAAGATTATTACTTTATTTTACCGGGTCATTTTTATAATATAATAAAGATATATATATATATATATATATATATATATATATATATATATATATATATATATATATATATATATATATATATATATATATATATATATATATATATATATATATATATATATTAAACTGTTCATATGGTACCTAAAAATGTTCACAAATATCTTAAAGTGCAAAGATGTTAGAGAAAGTGTACAGACGTTACCTAAAGTGTACAGACGTTACCTAAAGTGTACAGACGTTACCTAAAGTGTACAGACGTTACCTAAAGTGTACAGACGTTACCTAAAATGTACAGACGTTACCTAAAATGTACAGAGGTTACCTAAAGTGTACAGACGTTACCTAAAATGTACAGACGTTACCTAAAGTGTACAGACGTTACCTAAAATGTACAGACGTTACCTAAAGTGTACAGACGTTACCTAAAGTGTACAGACGTTACCTAAAGTGTACAGACGTTACCTAATGTGTATATATTGACTTATTTATGGTATAAACATAGTTTGTAAACTGGCTTAAGTTCTGGTTGTAAAATTTGCCATTTTTATATTATTTTTTATAATTTATCACTCTCCGCATTGTAAATAATACCTTGTGCATATTGCGCATGACAGTTATTATTACAGTTATGGGTAATTATATTTTGTCTTTTGATATGTATAACTGAAACCTTAGTGAAGGAATCTGCTGAAAAAAATTGCTGTTTATTTCCTCTGTTTACTGGATTCCACGAATGTTATTTATTGTGTTTATGATTAAGAATTTAAGAGACTTATAGAGGTAAATTTCACAATCTCTCTCTCTCTGTCTGTCTGTCTCTCTCTCTCTCTCTCTCTTTTCCACACGGTTTGACAAGGTTAGGTTAAGGATCCCTAGCTTTATTGACAAGTTATTTACAGGTTAAGGATTCCTAACTTTATTGACAAGCTAAGAGCTGCTACCTACATCAGCTCATTTGAAAGCATTTTTATTCTCTCTCTCTCTCTCTCTCTCTCTCTCTCTCCTCTCTCTCTCTCTCTCTCTCTCTCTCTCTCTCTCTCTCTCTCTCTCTCCTTGTAAGAATAAATGGGTTTCACATTGTTAGTCTAAGACATTCTATTATTAAATCACAAGAAAAGAGCTCTTTTCTATCTCAACTTATTTAAAAACCTTTCCACAACCTTATCTTTGCATGCAATAAGATCACAGTAAACAGGTGATGTCACAATATACAAACAAACCACTGAAAAAAATAGTGAAATTCCAAGCGCTTTCGTGATTTCTCACATTAACAACGACCTGATAATGAGAAATCAGGAAAGCGTTTGGAATTTCACTGTTTTGTCAGAGTGGTTGTTTTGCAGCTTTATCTGTATTAAATCTTTATTGTCATGACCCTTAAGGGTCAAAACAACTTTGGGACCATAATAAAGTATGAGAGTCCTCACATGATCCCTCAGTTAGAGTCCACAATGAGTTTTTAGGATTCTCCATGGGTCCCTACCAGGCTATAAGGGGTAATTATGAACCGTTAAATCAGTTCCCACAATACTCTAATATATCAAAGATATTGGTTATTACTCCATGGTAATTAGGTCAGCTCGTCCCATATTTTTGTTACGGTGTGAAGGAACAGTCATAGCAATGTAAGTATGTCTTAGTAATGCGGGAGGGTTGAATGTGTGTGTGTACATACATAAATACATACTGCCAGATTAGCAATATGACTGTCAGTGTGTTCCCTGGAGTGACTGTGTCAGAGCCTCTCTTGCCAGACTAGCAGTACGACTATTATTGTGCGCCAAGAAATGACTATCAGTCCGTGGATGTGCACTTCAAATTCTAGAACATCTGAACCCCTGTAACCAAGGTAAGTGCAAGTTATTTAACCTTTGGTTTGTCAAGTTATGAAAGTGATAATTGTTATAAGTTAGGACTTTCTGCTAAATAGATATTATTATTGTTGCCGTAATGTTTTGTTTTGTAATCTAGTGAATTATATTTGATATTTTCTTTAAAATTTATTACTTAAAACTTAATACATGGTTTGATGACTCTTCAAGCTTGTTTAAAAATATACACTCTTGGAGTCAGTAAAGAGTTTGGAGTCTTGAGTGTTAAAATAAGAGACTAAGTAGCAGGTACAAATACAACAGGGGAATCCTAATTAGAAGTAGTAGTAATTGTAGTTGATGTAATAGTACCAGTAACTGTATTCTCTAATCCACCAATAAAGGGTATTTAATGAAGTGTATGAATATCACTGAAATAATTGGAAGGTTAAGAAATTAGTCACATTAAAGCAAATATAACACTGTGGCCAGATCAAATATTTCTTTGCACTTTAAGGAAAGAATAGAGAAATATGATTAGCTTTTTTTTACCATAATCTAAGAGAATTTGTGCATAGAGACCGTTTTAAGTTTCCCGTTTGCCACGATTCTCATATTTTTACACCATTTCCTCCGACTCATCTTGATGCCTCCATGCCATCACACATTTCCTCTGACCCACCTTACAATAGAGTCGTCATCCCACCACCCACTTCCCATCTTCCACGATCCATTCCGCTTTCATAACTTTAACGAGAAATTGAAATACCATTTTGGTCTCTGGATCACATTTCGAGCCCCGTCCCGAGCAACTCAGTGCCGCTCACCCGCAGTCCAGGACTGGAGTCCTGAAGTAGGGCCCTGACCTGGTGGTTCTGCACATGGATTCGATATTCATTTCTTGCAATCATCACCGACACTCTGGTCCTGAAGCAACAGAGGCGTCGCTGTTCCCTCACAGGAGAGAAATGAACCAACGTTCGAAGCTCTGAGATCTCTCTGGAGATGGTATTGCATTGTGGCGCCGAGGCACAGATAAATACTACTGGGACTCGTCTAATTGCGTTGGATTCTCCTGAATAATACTGTCCCAGGAAGTTCCTTCGTACTCTTGGGCTCACTAACTCGTTCACACTATCTTCGAATGTCCCTTCGCTCTCTCTCCTGGTCTCGCTAAATCGGCCTCGCTATACCAGAATATCAACGCACACTCCCGGTCTCGCTAACTTGGTTTCATTATTCTAGTGTACCTTCTCGCTTCGTAACGTGAAGAGTCCTTCACTGACATTTCGATATTTTGTTTCCTGTGTGAGGGTGACATCAACACTGAAGTTTCATATCAGGGTAATAATGTACAGCTTCCAGGCACTGAGTGTTCACTTGCAGGATGAGCGGCACTGATTATTAAACTCCCTTGTTGTGGAATGAATATATATATATATATATATATATATATATATATATATATATATATATATATATATATATATATATATATTTATTATTTTTTTATTATCACACTGGCCGATTCCCATCAAGGCAGGGTGGCCCGAAAAAGAAAAACTTTCACCATCATTCACTCCATCACTGTCTTGCCAGAAGGGTGCTTTACACTACAGTTTTTAAACTGCAACATTAACACCCCTCCTTCAGAGTGCAGGCACTGTACTTCCCATCTCCAGAACTCAAGTCCGGCCTACCGGTTTCCCTGAACCCCTTCATAAATGTTACTTTGCTCACACTCCAACAGCACGTCAAGTATTAAAAACCATTCGTCTCCATTCACTCCTATCAAACACGCTCACGCACGCCTGCTGGAAGTCCAAGCCCCTCGCACACAAAACCTCCTTTACCCCCTCCCTCCAACCTTTCCTAGGCCGACCCCTACCCCGCCATCCTTCCACTACAGACTGATACACTCTTGAAGTCATTCTGTTTCTCTCCATTCTCTCTACATGTCCGAACCACCTCAACAACCCTTCCTCAGCCCTCTGGACAACAGTTTTGGTAATCCTGCACCTCCTCCTAACTTCCAAACTACGAATTCTCTGCATTATATTCACACCACACATTGCCCTCAGACATGATATCTCCACTGCCTCCGGCCTTCTCCTCGCTGCAACATTCATCACCCATGCTTCACACCCATATAAGAGTGTTGGTAAAACTAAACTCTCATACATTCCCCTCTTTGCCTCCAAAGACAAAGTTCTTTGTCTCCACAGACTCCTAAGTGCACCACTCAGCCTTTTCCCCTCATCAATTCTATGATTCACCTCATCCTTCATAGACCCATCCGCTGACACGTCCACTCCCAAATATCTGAATACATTCACCTCCTCCATACTCTCTCCCTCCAATCTGATATCCAATCTTTCATCACCTAATATTTTTGTTATCCTCATAACCTTACTCTTTCTTGTATTCACTTTTAATTTTCTTTTGCACACCCTACCAAATTCATCCACCAATCTCTGCAACTTCTCTTCAGAATCTCCCAAGAGCACAGTGTCATCAGCAAAGAGCAACTGTGACAACTCCCACTTTATGTGTGATTCCTTATCTTTTAACTCCACGCCTCTTATCAAGACCCTCGCATTTACTTCTCTTACAACCCCATCTATAAATATATTAAACAACCACGGTGACATCACACATCCCTGTCTAAGGACTACTTTTACTGGGAAATAATTTCCCTCTTTCCTATGTACTCTAACTTGAGCCTCACTATCCTCGTAAAAACTCTTCACTGCTTTCAGTAACCTACCTCCTACACCATATACCTGCAACATCTGCCACATTGCCCCCCTATCCACCCTGTCATACGCCTTTTCCAAATCCATAAATGCCACAAAGACCTCTTTAGCCTTATCTAAATACTGTTCACTTATATGTTTCACTGTAAACACCTGGTCCACACACCCCCTACCTTTCCTAAAGCCTCCTTGTTCATCTGCTATCCTATTCTCAGTCTTACTTTTAATTCTTTCAATAATAACTCTACCATACACTTTACCAGGTATACTCAACAGACTTATCCCCCATAATTTTTGCACTCTCTTTTGTCCCCTTTGCCTTTATACAAAGGAACTATGCATGCTCTCTGCCAATCCCTAGTTACCTTACCCTCTTCCATACATTTATTAAATAATTGCACCAACCACTCCACAACTATATCCCCACCTGCTTTTAACATTTCTATCTTTATCCCCTCAATCCCGGCTGCCTTACCCCCTTTCATTTTACCTACTGCCTCACGAACTTCCCCCCACACTCACAACTGGCTCTTCCTCACTCCTACAAGATGTTATTCCTCCTTGCCCTATACACGAAATCACAGCTTCCCTATCTTCATCAACATTTAACAATTCCTCAAAATATTCCCTCCATCTTCCCAATACCTCTAACTCTCCTCTCCTATTTTTAACTGACAAATCCATTTGTTCTCTAGGCTTCCTTAAATTGTTAATCTCACTCCAAAACTTTTTCTTATTTTCAACAAAATTTGTTGATAACATCTCACCCACTCTCACATTTGCTCTCTTTTTACATTGCTTCACCACTCTCTTAACCTCTCTCTTTTTCTCCATATACTCTTCCCTCCTTGCATCACTTCTACTTTGTAAAAACTTCTCATATGCTAACTTTTTTCCCCTTACTACTCTACATCATTCCACCAATCGCTCCTCTTCCCTCCCGCACCCACTTTCCTGTAACCACAAACTTCTGCTGAACACTCTAACACTACATTTTTAAACCTACCCCATACCTCTTCGACCCCATTGCCTATGCTCTCATTAGCCCATCTATCCTCCAATAGCTGTTTATATCTTTCCCTAACTGCCTCCTCTTTTAGTTTATAAACCTTCACCTCTCTCTTCCTGATGCTTCTATTCTCCTTGTATCCCATCTACCTTTTACTCTCAGTGTAGCTACAACTAGAAAGTGATCTGATATATCTGTGGCCCCTCTATAAACATGTACATCCTGAAGTCTACTCAACAGTCTTTTATCTACCAATACATAATCCAACAAACTACTGTCATTTCGCCCTACATCATATCTTGTATACTTATTTATCCTCTTTTTCTTAAAATATGTATTACCTATAACTAAATCCCTTTGTATACAAAGTTCAATCAAAGGGCTCCCATTATCATTTACACCTGGCACCCCAAACTTTCCTACCACACCCTCTCTAAAAGTTTCTCCTACTTTAGCATTTAGGTCCCCTACCACAATTACTCTCTCACTTGGTTCAAAGGCTCCTATACATTCACTTAACATCTTCCAAAATCTCTCTCTCTCCTCTGCATTCCTCTCTTCTCCAGGTGCATACACGCTTATTATGACCCACTTCTCGCATCCAACCTTTACTTTAATCCACATAATTCTTGCATTTACACATTCATATTCTCTTTTCTCCTTCCATAACTGATCATTCAATATTACTGCTACCCCTTCCTTTGCTGTAACTCTCTCAGATACTCCAGATTTAATCCATTATTTTCCCCCCACCGAAACTCCCCTACCCCCTTCAGCTTTGTTTCGCTTAGGGCCAGGACATCCAACTTCTTTTCATTCATAACATCAGCAATCATCTGTTTCTTGTCATCTGCACTACATCCACGCACATTCAAGCATCCCAGTTTTATAAAGTTTTTTTTCTTCTCTTTTTTAGTAAATGTCTACAGGAGAAGGGGTTACTAGCCCATTGCTCCCGGCATTTTAGTCGCCTCATACGACACGCATGGCTTACGGAGGAAAGATTCTTTTCCACTTCCCCATGGACAATAGAAGAAATAAAGAAGAACAAGAGCTATGTAGAAAAATGAGAAAAACCTAGATGTATGTATATATATATACATGTGCATGTCTGTGAAGTGTGACCAAAGTGTAAGTTGTAGTAGCAAGATATCCCTGTTATCTAGCGTGTTTATGAGACAGAAAAAGACACCAGCAATCCTACCATCATGCAAAACAGTTACAGGTTTCTGTTTCACAGTCATCTGGCAGGACGGTAGTACTTCCCTGGGTGGTTGCTGTCTACCAACCTACTACCTATATATATATATATATATATATATATATATATAATATTATATATATATATATATATATATATATATATAATATATATATATAATATCCATATATATATTCATACAGAGATTATACATTGAGAGTTTAATCACTAAAATAGAAAATAGTTTTCTTCTCTGCTGTTGAGCAGGTTATATTCAGCTAGTTATTGTGTATAACAAACACAGATCTTGCGAGAGTTGCACTGAAGTGAAGTTTGAGAGCAACGCTTGTATAAACCTTGCTCAATATAAACCTTGCTCAATATAAACCTTGCTCAATATAAACCTTGCTCAATATAAACCTTGCTCAATATAATCCTACCTTGCTC